TGTTATCAAAACAAGCGAAGGATTTAATCCCTCTATGAAAATATAACAACATAAAAAAGTTTCATTTAAATCCAATTAAATTTCACTTAACTCTTGTGATGCTTAAGCATTTAATATAATTTTCAGTGTAAGTTTTTAATAAATAAATACATTTTTTTTTAATAAATTATTATGAATATATTGTCGTTCATTTAATAATTTGAGCAGAATCCTTTATATTTCTTTTATTTATTGTTTAAGAGATTTCAGGCTAATTAAAGGAAAAAATTATTCTTTCTAACACGGTCATCCTTAGAGTAAATATTATAAGCTAATTATGCCTTGTATAATATCAGAAAGTGTTTTTAATAAGTATTCTTAGACTTTGGTTTAAAATTGCAGCAAATTCGCTTCATATCAATAAATATCTGACGCCGTTTATCCATAAAACCGCTTAAGTACATGTTCAGTTGTAAAATGAAGGTAAACAAAAAGCTTTTTTCTAAGAACTAGGATAAAAAAATCATTTTTTCATTGTTTCATTTTGATTATTTTCATTCAAGTTCATTTCAGCATATATTCATATTTATTGTCTTTTATTCATTTTATTTTTCATTTTCGTGTAATCCTAAATGGAATTCACGCAAATTACATTTCTGTTAAACAGATTTCTTTGGTTAAATGAGATTATATGAGTATTCATAGAGAAGAAAGTATTTAATTCTTAAATGTTTCCTTTGTATTCTTTTTTTTTTGGTAAATGTTGTAAAGGAATGTTTTTCTACTTTTCTGCGTTTTAAAAAAATCAACGGAATGTTGGAGGAATGAAGTTAAGTTTTAATTGGATTAAACTTTAGAGGAAAATATTCCATGAAATTTCCCTCGAATTAAAAACTTCTGATTGAAAACGTAAAATTTTTGTTTTGATTAAAAAATTTAAGATTGTTTGAGATGTTTGCAATTAAAAAGCTTTAACATTAAAACTAATTAAGTGGGTCCGATTAGAAATCAGAGAATTAAAAATGTTACAATAATTTGTAACAACAATTAAACACTCAAGAAATTGATTTTCTTTTGCACAATTAATTGCTCAAATTTTAATATGCAATGAAGTCGTTTGTGAATTGTAAGAACCTTCATCATCATCATCAGAGTAGGGAGTGCACGACTGTACACTAAAGCGATTAAGAATACAGGAGCTTGTAAGAACCTTTTTAAGGATTAAAAATATAATTAAAATATTTTCTAATAAAAAATCGATCATTGAAATTTTTC